ATCCGAAGGTGGTGAACGGTCAAAGAATCAAACATTATATCTCAGGTAATCCCATAAATGTTGAAACCAATGTTATTGAAACCGTAACCCTGGAGAAATACATAAGGGACACTTTCCGGAACATTTCAGACTCCGAAACGGAATAGGTATGTGGTACGGTAAGTAAACCGACTCCAAAATAGTTTTTATGGCAATATTTCTCCGTTTTGGAATATTTAGAAAAATAGAAAAATAAGAAGCAGTCCGGGAAGGATACGAGGGCTCCACGAGGGTGGAGGGCGCGCCCTACCCTCCTGGGCACGCCCCTACCTCGTGGGCACCTCGTGTGCTCTCCGGACTCCATTTTCGTACACGACATGTATTTTGGTCGGTAAAAATTCATTATATAATCTCCCGGGGGTTTTGACTCCCGTATCACGCAAAAATCTCATGTTTTTGTTTCGAGCTGTTTTCTGATAGATCCAGGTCGTCATGTCGTCTTCAAGCGCCCCCAAGGACCAGTTCTTCGAGAAGGTCATCAACCCCTACCTCGCAGAAGTGCTGCAACACCCTCAAACCATTGAGATGCATGAGGGGTTGTTGCACATCCGCGATGCTGAGGTACCAAGGAAGACCGGAAGCACGGAGGCAAGGCTTGAGGCATTGGAGCAAGAAGTTTTCAAGTGTCAGGAGATGGTGGAGCGTGGACTCGATTCCAATCACATTATGATCACGGAGTTCACCAACAACCACAAGCTGGACGTCAAGGACATTGGGGAGGCCATCTTCAAGCTTCATGAGAAAAACGAGCACCTCCAAGCCCAGATCTATGACCTGCAAAATCAAAACTGTGAGTATGAATATAGATTCAAGAGGATGAGTTTGGCTGCAGATTTGAGGTTTCAGGAGACTCGATCATCCTTCTATGATGGTGAGCCTATGCCTTGGAAGAAGGATGACAAGCCTACGCCATCAACAAAACCATCACCTTCTCCACCAACAAAGAAGAATTGAGTATCTGGTATGGGCACTCCCCTTGGCAACTGCCAAGCTTGGGGGAGTGCCTCGGTATCGTATCACCATCACTTTTATCTTTACCATTTTTCTTAGTTCGATCCTTTTGGTAATATCTTGATCTAGTAGAATAAAAGTTCTTAGTATGATCTAGTTGTGAGTTTTGCTTTATAATTCCTCTATGTAATCGAGTCTGTGAGCTATATGATAAATATTAGTGTTGAGTCAAGGGCTTGATTATTTTGCCATGATCCTAAGAGAATAAAAGAAAAGAGAAAGAAATAAAAAGAAACAAAGAGATCGTGTGAATCTTATGGAGAGTAATGAGCTCACATAGAAAAAGTATGATGAATAAAAGTTGTTGAGAGTTGACAAGCATAGTTTTGGTCATCGTTGCAATTAATAGGAAGTAATAAAGAAAGTGAGGTCTTAACATATAAATATACTATCTTGGACATCTTTTATGATTGTGAGCACTCATTAAAATATGACATGCTAAAGAGTTGACGTTGGACAAGGAAGACAACGTGATGGGTTATGTTTTCTTACATCTGAGATAAATTATATTGTCATGGATCATCCAACATGGTTGAGCTTGCCTTTGCCCCTCATGCTAGCCAAATTCATCGCACCAAGTAGAGATACTACTTGTGCTTCCAAATACCCTTAAACCAGTTTTGCCATGAGAGTCCACCATACCTACCTATGGATTGAGTAAGATCCTCCAAGTAAGTTGTCATCGGTGCAAGCAATAAAAATTGCTCTCTAAATATGTATGACTTATTAGTGTGGGAGAAAATAAGCTTTATACGATCATGTGATATGGAAGAATAAAAGCGACAGACTGCATAATAAAGGTCCATATCACAAGTGGCAATGTAAAGTGACATTCTTTCGCATTAAGATTTTGTGCATCCAACCATAAAAGCGCATGACAACCTCTGCTTCCCTCTGCGAAGGGCCTATCTTTTACTTTTATCCCCTACCTTGCATAAGAGTCATGGTGATCTTCACCCTTCCTTTTTACATTTTATCCATTGGCAAGCACAGTATGTTGGAAAGATCCTGATATATATGGCTAATTGGATGTGAGTTTTCATGAACTATTATTGTTGACATTACCCTTGAGGTAAAACGTTGGGAGGAAAAACTATAAGCCCCTATCTTTCTCTGTGTCCGATTAAAACTCCATACCCATAAGTATTGTGTGAGTGTCAGCAATTGTGAAAGACCATATGATAGTTCAGTATGTGGACTTGCTGAAAAGCTCTTATACATTGACTCTTTCCTATGTTATGATAAATTGCAATTGCTCCAATGGCTGAGATTATAGTTTGTTAGTTTTCAATGAAGTTTACGATTCATACTTGAAATTGTGATTGAATTATTACTCTAGCATAAGAAATCATATGGCAAGAATTATATAAGTTGTTGTTCTAAGAATGATCATGATGCCCTCATGTCCGTATTTTATTTTTATCGACACCTCTATCTCTAAACATGTGGACATATTTTTCGATTTTGGCTTTCGCTTGAGGACAAGCGAGGTCTAAGCTTGGGGGAGTTGATACGTCCATTTTGCATCATGCTTTTATATCGATATTTATTGCATTATGGGCTGTTATTACACATTATGTCACAATACTTATGCATATTCTCTCTTATTTTACAAGGTTTACATAAAGAGGAAGAATGTCGGCAGCTGGGATTCTGGGCTGGAAAAGGAGCAAATAATAGAGACCTATTCTGCACAGCTCCAGAAGTCCTGAAACTTCACAGAAGACGTTTTCAGAATATAAAAAAAATACTGAGCGCAAGAAGTTCACCAGGGGGGGCACACCCTGCCCACGAGGGTGGGGGCGCGCCCCCTACCTCGTGGGCCCCCTGGTGGCCCTCCGATGTCCATCTTCTGCTATATGGAGTCTTTCGATGAGAAAAAAATCATAAGCCATCTTCTCGGAAGAAACTCCGCCGTCATGAGGCGGAACCTTGGCGGATCCAATCTAGGGCTCCGGCAGAGCTGTTCTGCCAGGGAAACTTCCCTCCGGGAGGGGGAAATCATCGCCATCGTCATCACCAACACTCCTCTCATCGGGAGAGGGCAATCTCCATCAACATCTTCATCAGCACCATCTCCTCTCAAAACCCTAGTTCATCTCTTGTATCAAATTCTTGTCTTCAAGTCCGAGATTGGTGCTAGTATGTTGCTAGTAGTGTTAATTACTCCTTGTAGTTGATGCTAGTTGGTTTATTTGGTGGAAGATCATATGTTCAGATCCTATATGCATATTAATACCCCTCTGATTATGAACATGAATATGCTTTGTGAGTAGTTACGTTTGTTCCTGAGGACATGGGAGAAGTCTTGCTATTAGTAGTCATGTGAATTTGGTATTCATTCGATATTTTGATGAGATGTATGTTGTCTCTCCTCTAGTGGTGTTATGTGAACGTTGACTACATGAAACTTCACCATTATTTGGGCCTAGAGGAAGGCATTGGGAAGTAATAAGTGGATGATGGGTTGCTAGAGTGACAGAAGCTTAAACCCTAGTTTATGTGTTGCTTCGTAAGGGGCTGATTTGGATCCATATGTTTCATGCTATGGTTAGGTTTACCTTAATACTTTTGTTGTAGTTGCGGATGCTTGCAATAGAGGTTAATCATAAGTGAGATGCTTGTCCAAGTAAGGACAGTACCCAAGCACCGGTCCACCCACATACCAAATTATCAAAGTACCGAACGCGAATCATACGAACGTGATGAAAACTAGCTTGACGATATTCCCATGTGTCCTCGGGAGCGCTTTTCTCTTTATAAGAGTTTGTCCAGGCTTGTCCTTTGCTACAAAAAAGATTGGGCCACCTTGCTGCACTTTATTTACTTTTGTTACTTGTTGCTCGTTACAAATTATCCTATCACAAAACTATCTGTTACCACTTATTTCAGTACTTGCAGAGAATACCTTGCTGAAAACTGCTTATCATTTCCTTCTGCTCCTCGTTGGGTTCGACACTCTTACTTATCGAAAAGACTATGATAGATCCCCTATACTTGTGGGTCATCAATGCGGCGCGCGACAATGAAGAGGGGGAGGAAGAATCGTCTTTGGATGAGGATGATGGATCGGAGCAGGAGGAGGATGAAGACGAGGACGATGCATGATTGTTGATGGGTCATTCGTTTGTGGGAACTTTTATGTCATGAACTTGGTTGGATGATGTTGTGGGCATGAATGTGAACTTTTATGTCATGAACTTGTTTAGGTGATTTTAAACTATGCCATGTCTTGTTTTGATGTTTGAAATATCATCATGTCTCCAAAATGCAACATATGACAAGCGTCGGCTGCTCGCGCGCGCTGCAGTTTAGCGTGTCTGTTGGGGCGGCTCGGGCGTGCATTTTGCAGCGGCCGCTGGAGCAAGCGCTCCTTGCCGCGCAAAAACTCGCGATCAGCGCGCTGCAAACGTTTTTTTTAACGCGCCGCGTGTTGCACGGCTGTTGGAGATGCTCTTAGCCTCCTTCTCTTTTAGTAATTTATAAGTATCTACTCCCTCTTTTCTATAATGTAAGAACGCTATAGAACATAAGGGAAGATGATTTACATATGAGTATCCCATCCATAAGAGACACCCAACTTATATAAAAAGGTCCAAAGTAATGAAATTGCACATAGATAACAGTAGTCCAAAGTCCAAAGTAATGAAATTGCACGTAGATAATCAAGTTCACATAAGTTTCACAAGAGCGCGCACACACACTTGCGCATTATGGTACGTAGTCTATGATTAAACCCCTTAACAATAGATAACCGCTACAACACCAGCACAAATTAAGCAAAGCTCAAACCTTAAACCAGCGGCACTGCATGCATGCAGTTACATGCAAATCGATAGCACCATCTCCATTAGCCTGCACTTACCCAACGCGGGCGCGACGACGACGGACGTGTTCCTTTACCTCGCTTAATTATTAGCACGTGCGCCTGCTTCGCCATCTCGATCGGGTCAGGCGTCCATGCGCGCCGGGTACTGGTCGACGCAGTCCAGCCACGGGCTCCTGGACGGGCGGCGCACGCGGCGGACGGCGCGCCACACGGCGCTGTTGCACTTGAACCCGGAGCCGAAGGCGAGCTGCCACACGCGGTCGCCGCGGCGGACGCGGCCCTTGGCCTCCAGGTAGGCCAGCTCGTACCAGATGCTGCTGCTGGAGGTGTTGCCGAAGCGGTGCAGCGCGGCGCGGGAGGCCTCCAGGTCGGCGTCGCGGAGGCCCAGGTTGCGCTGCAGGTGCTCCAGCACGTCGCGGCTGGCCGCGTGCATGCAGAAGTGCTCGAACGCGCGCTTGAAGTCCGGGATGTAGGGCGCGGCGGCCGAGGTGTCCCCGTTGGCGGCCGGCGGCGGCGGGGTGGACGTCTTGGACGGGTAGAGGTGGCGGAACAGCACGCCGGCGAAGAAGAGGAGCTGCTCCGAGAAGGGCAGCACCAGCGGGCCGAGGGTGGTGATGTTGGTCTTGAGCGCGTGGCCGCCGACCTCCACCAGGTCGCGGCTGATGGACAGGCCCTTGATCCGCTGCTCGTCCTCCTCCTGGTACACGGAGCGGAAGGCGCGGTCGTCGGCGCCCTTGTGCGTGCGCACCACGTGCTCCAGCTGGTACTTGGCGCGGCGGAAGTCCCTGCGGCGGTTCGACAGCAGCACGGCGGCGGCGCCCGCGCGGAAGAAGGCGTTGGGGATGAGCATGGACCGGCGCTTCCCGGCGTACCACGTGAATGACACGGCCTCGGTGCTCACCACGACGGCGAGCCCAGCGCCGCTGGCCTGGAGCATGTCACGCGCCAGGTCGATGGAGATGACGCCCGCGCTGCAGCCCATGCCCCCCAGATTGTAGCTGAGGATGTTGCCGCGCATCTTGTAGTGGTTGACGATCATGGCGGAGAGGGAGGGGGTGGGGTTGAAGAGGCTGCAGTTGACGACGAGCACGCCGACGTCCTTGGGGCGGACGCGGCACTTGTCGAAGAGCTCGTCGAGCGCGGCGAACATGGCGGCGGAGGCCTCGGCGCGGCCCTCCTTCATGGTGGCGCAGTTGGCGTCGGGCTGGAAGACGCAGCGCGGCATGTAGGACTCGTCCCCGATGCCGGACTTGGCCAGCAGCCGCGCCTGGAACGCCAGGCTCTCCTCGTCGAACTTGCCCGACTTGCGCGCCAGCTCGATGAACTCCGCCTTGGACACCTGCATTTCCTCGCCGACGATCCATCCAGCGGCCGGAGCCGAGATCACAACGTGAACAAGACGCACAACATAATTTCTATCTAAAAAAAATCTTTCATTTTCATTTTCAGAAGAAGATTGGTTTGGTGGGCGGGTCATTGATTTTTTATTTTTTATTTTTTATTTTTGCATCGAGGGTGGGTCATTGATTGTGCGTGTGCGCGGGAGCTGCCAACCGCATTGGACGACCGGCCGATGTACCCCAGCCGAAACCTCCCTCTACCGGCTCGACGGCGATCCATCCGTCGTCATAACTTCCGGGCCGCCCCCGCTCACTAATTCATTCACAAGGGCCGGGCCGGGCCCAGATATGCCGTCTACGGTCCAACACCGAACCGACCTTTCAGCCTGACTCGATCGCCCATACTACTCAACAGTAGTATTACTGCTCCCATTATACAAAGTTAGTTAATGCAACCATAAAAAAAGTTAGTTAATGCAACATTGATAGCTATAGTCTGATTGGTGGCAGCTGGGCAGCACTGGGAGCGTATTAATGGAGGGGCAGGGGCAGGTACGGGTACACGTAATTTCGCTTGCCTGGATCCACATCTACGTATACCAAATATATATAACCGTATAAAAGAAATGTGGAAGAGTAGTTGCCTAACAGAAAAGTTGAAAGAGATGTATTCAATCAGTTTGGGAGAATGCAAAGCTCGCCGGAAAATATTTGTGTTTTTAGAGTTTTTAAATGGACTACCACATACGGATGTATATAGACATATTTTAACGTGCAGATTCACGCATTTAGCTTCGTATGTAGTCATTTGTTAGAATCTCTAGAAAGACAAATATTTAGGAACGGAGGGAGTACTTGTGTACTTTGTTGGTTTGTTACTTTACAAAACATGACAGTAACTTTTCTGTCATTTTCTTTACCCCGTAACATTTTACTCCGTTTGATTATCACAGCTGCATAGCCCTTTGCATTCTTCCAAGTAATTAATTGAGCATGGGCCAGCATCTTTTTAGCTGAAGACAAAGTATTTTCTAGTAGTACAATATAAGAGTGAAACTAGCTAGTAGTACTCTGGTGAGACCCCGTTCAGAAGATATCTAGATTAGTACGCGAAGATTGGCCATGCTTGGATCCAAGGGACTATTTTTAGTCTGACTAAAACTAGTCTCTTTTAGAGGCTAAAGTTTCAATCACCCCTGACTAAAGAGAGGCTAGAACTAGTCTTGAGACTAAAAAATTTTAGTCAGGGGAACCCTACTAAAATGTGGATTAGTCCTCTTTCTCCTCATTTAACTCCTCTCCTTTAACACATGCGAGTTCGGGATTGGAGGGTTTGGAGGATAATAAATGCTCATTAACTCATTTTAGTCTATTTAGTATTTGTATCCAAGCATGGGTGAGGCTAGCAAGTTTTAGTCCCACTACTTTTAGTCATGGGACTAAAACGTATCCAAGCATCCTCTAAAGTATTTCGGGACATGTTTTTCGCATTCATGTTATCTAGTGAGGAGGCCCCGTTGGGAAGATAGGTAGATTAGCACGCGAGGGAATTCCATAGGATTCCATCTAGTATACGTCTCACGCAAAACTCGTGTGTGCCAAACGTGACTTGTGCGATTACACATGTCGACCTCGAGAGATCGATCTTCCGCCCAAGAAACTGCTAATACATCCATATCTCTGCTCCCAAACATTTCTCTCATCTAACTTTTTCCAAACTTTTTTACACCTAATGCTAGACTCATCAACATTTCGTGTCCGGAATTAATTAGCAAAAAGAAATCCTACCCAAAAAAAAAACCTTTTTCACTTGTGATCCATATACCTACACGATCGATCCGGATCGATATTTAGCATGTACGGTATAACATATGCTCGCATGCAAATGGATGCAGTGCTCTGTAATTAACTAAGCAGTAAAAAACTAAGAGTACGAGTAAGGATGAGGAGATTAGGATTAGGAGTAGGTTTACCTTGAGTTCGTCGGCGGGCTTGTAGGTGGCGAAGTCGATGAGGTAGATGGGCCTGGGGCGGGACATGATGTAGACGGAGATGGTGAAGGCGAGGACGGCGAGGAAGGCGAGCACGGTGGCGAGGTCGTAGGTGGCCTCGTCCCACACCTTGCGCCACAGCTCGTCGCGGCTGAGGCTGCCCACCTCGGCGCCGCACACCAGCACGATCACCGGGATGGTGGCCAGGTACACGCCGTGGCTCAGCAGGTAGTGGTAGCCGAGCCGCACGTACTTGAGGTTCACCGACTGCAAGAAGTCGGGCAGCCGGCGGCGCACGCGCACCGAGAAGGTCGGCGACCCGGCGTCCGGGCCCGACGGCTCCACGCCGCGGTTCACGATCTCCGTCGACAGCTCCTCCCGCGCCATGGCCGGGGTCGGGCGGGCTCGACTGGTGGCGGCGAGCCGACCGATGGATGGGCGGTGGTGGTGGTGAGGGTGGGAGGGAGTGGGAGTGCTGGGTGTTTAGATATAGCTAGGGATGGTGGCGTTGCGTTGCGTTGCTGCTGGGGCTGGGGTTGGGTTGGGGAGGAGATGGTGGGTGGGCGGGTTGTTGGGTGGCACTTAATGCCATTAGGGAGCAGAGCACAAGCCAGGCCAGAGAGGGGAGAGGAGCTAGCTTGGTTGCTTGGGGGCATGGTGCTGGGTGTTCAGACTTCAGACTCGTTCATGCATGCATGCATGCATGGTCAAGTGGCCATGGACACACACACACACACATGCATGACCTCTCTCGTGCTGTGAGGCTGACATGTTGCCCCGGAGCGCACAGCGCTGCTGGGGATCAGCTAGCTTTTGCGGCAACATGTGCGGCTCCGGGGAGGAAAATGTGCAAGGTGATTGCTTTCTTGTGCGCGGCACGCCTCAGCTGCATGCGTTTCGCATTTGGAGTCCGCCTGTGCTGTGACACCAGAAAAGGTTTTGTTTTCGGCCGTTGAAAGAACAAAATATATATGCTCTAGTTCCTGCTATTTTTACTGTTTTATTACATGGAACGGATAGTTTTCATTTTAGTGTTTGTATGGGGTGATAGCAATATTTTTAAGGTTTTGATGAGGAGTACTGGGATGAAGATGAAGTGGATTGGATCTGGCATTTGCGCAGCGCGGCAGGCTAGCTGTAGCCGGACCTTTATTGATTGCGTGAATCGTGATGGCAGAATGAAGAGGCCGGCTCATCAGATCAGATTCATTTCATTTCATGGACGGCCTCTTTATTAGGTGTAGCGGTGTAGCCGTGTAGTAGCAGCCTGCATGCATGCAGCACCACTGTCAGCAAACCAGGCCTAGTCTTCTGGCGCCAACCCATGCATCTTCACTAGTCCCCCGTACGTCCACGAAAATGCATTGCCATCCCAAGCTCAATCGATTATTCACAAATTTGAAATGGCCAAGCCCTGTGTACAAATTTTCAAACCAGAAGCAACAGTTTTGACGAAACTCTGAACCTGGGCAGCAACAGCTAACTACTCTTTCGCCACCAAAATGCTCTCCATTTAATCGTTTGATTGGTCATGCTAGTAGTATAGTGCATGCATATATGTGTGTGCGCCGTTGGGAGCTAGACTTTGAAACCTAACTAGAAAACTCGATCCTCTCCCTTTCTCATAAACCATGACCATGATCTGCGCCCGCATTTCTCCATCACGCACTGAAAGAAAAGAAATCCTGTCACGGTCTCAGTTCGACCACCAGTCCACGGCCTGCGATCCAATCAATCAAGAGGCGCCAAATCAAAGGGATTAGCACGAGCGGTTTTGGGCATTTTTCGACGCGGACACTCCTCCTACTGCTGCGATTTGCAAATGCCGTTTTCCGGCGAGAAGTGTCCCGCGCTCCCCCAGGCTGCAGCTGCTTCCAGATCATGTACGTACTACTCCCTCTGTTCCTAAATATTTGTCTTTCTAGACATTCAAATGGACTACAACATACGGATGTATGTAGACATATATTAGAATGTAGATTCAACCATTTTACTTTGTATGTAGTCATTTGTTAAAACCTCTAGAAAGACAAGTATTTAGGAACGGAGGGAGTAGTATGTAAAACTAGTCCATGGAAGACGAACCTCCTCTCTCTGCTCCAACTTCCAACAAGAAACCATGGAGAAAATGATGCACTGACCGATCTTTCAAGTGGCAAATGTCCATAAGCCCATACGAGCGAGCAAAGGCGAGAATATCCGGATTCGCCGACGATATGCCGCGCTGGTCTCATGCGATCCGATGAACTGGCCCTTGTGATGGCGCCATCCCAATACGCGTCTGGTATGGCCGGTTGGACGGATGGATGGATGGGGAGATCTGCCTTGTGCAGTGCGGTAACAACATTCATGGTTGCACCCATCCAGGAAATAAATTCGTGCCGGCCGTGCACGTACTACGCCCATGTGCTCGCGTTAAGCCGACCCTCTGCTCGCCATGTGAGCATGTTTTCTCGCAGGAACACGGAGCCAGAGCCAGAGCCAGTGGTGGTGGCGGTGGATGAATGAAGAATCCTTCCATGCACTATACTTCCGGCCGGTGATATTTTTCCCTGACAAAAATATCAAAGGCAATGCACTCTGTCAGGGACAAGGGAGTTATCAATGGCACCAACAATTCAAAAAAAATGTAAATCATCCGCAAGAATTAGTTGGATCTGTATGTACATGCTACAGCTGTTCTCTTTTTTCCATCTTGAGGCTAGCATGAGAAATGGCAGTGCTTGTGTTGCTTAATTTTGACACACATATAGGTAGGTAAGTGGATTCTTTTCAGCTGCATCCAGCACGAAACAGTACCCCTATTTTTAGTGGCAAAAACAGTACTACCTTCACTAACTTATTAACGAGCATGCTTGGGCAGGAGATGCCCAATACAGTAGCAGCATGGCATGTTGGCATCTACAACGAATTTGCTGGCCAGTGTGTGTGTGAGAGAGATGGCATATCATCATCATCATCATAGATGAAAGACAAAACGGAACATGCCAGGCAATACCATAACTCAACATATTCACAGGCCACAGTTTAGCAAAATTGCTGAGACTGTTAACAATATGCGTGTCATCATGTACTCTTTCTACGAGGAGAAGGAGAGAAAAAAAAGGATCCATACGAGGAGAAGGAGTATGGTGTAGAACCCACGACTTATTCGATAACAGAACAAAGCGAGCTGAGGGGACCAAATAACTCCTGAAATACGGCTAATAGTTTTACAGGCTGTTGTTGCTGACCAACAAGACACTGTGTACTTGATACACCGCATCAACTCTGGCAAAGCTGTAGCACCAACAAAAGGGCAACCTGGTGCATGTAGCTCCCGCTTGCGCAGGGTCCAGGGAAGGGTCCAACCACTTTGGGTCTATAGTACGCAGCCTTTCCCTAAGCATAGAAATAATCGGGCTTACAAAGGTTTCTCAAGGAGTTTAAGTCTACAGTCAGAGTTTCATCATGAGCATCTGAGCTCAGGCTCAGGAATGGCTACAAGTATTGGATCAAGATGAAGTTCTTGAGATCATTTGTAACACACACACACAGAGATTTTTGCTATGCCATCTGTTTCTGTTATAGCCCCTTATTAGTCAATGATCACTACTCATTCAAAATTTCCTTCTTGCAAAACGAGTTAGCATTTTTTTTACAGATCAAAAGTGTGTGAAGACTCTGTTTAGAAATTGTCAGTGAGACGTAGTTATGTACATGTGGTTATTATCAAGGGTGCCAATGGATATGCACTCCTACATGCTACAGCTGTTCTTTTTCCACCCCGAAGCCAAAATGAGAAAGAAACCACCCGCAAGAAAGAAAAACATGAGAAAGAAACATACAGTATTCCCTCTTTCTACACTACTACTTCAGATGCTGTGAGAAATAGTACTTGTGTTGCTTAATCTTGACACATATAGGTAGGTAAGTAGATTCCTTTTGTTAGAGTTATAATATAAGTCATATACCCCTTTATATTTATCTCATTGTATGAGGGGTTTCCTGCATATGTTCCACACCTGTACATGTATATATATATCGGCCTATGGCCTCCTGGGAATACAAGTTGCTTATTCCTAACATGGTATTAGAGCTAGGTCAATTTTTTTGCACGCTGCAACTCGTGCGTTTGATCCTCTCTACATCCCGATCGATCTCCAACTAGGGCCGCTCGAAGCCTCCCGCTCGATCTCGCCCCGATCGATCTCCAGCTCCCGCCCGCTTCGATCTGGTCCCGCAGGTCCCGCTGGCTTCAATCCCTTCCTGTCTTCGATCGATTCCTCCCGATCGAGCTCCAGCCGGCCCTGCAGCGCTCTCGTCCCGCAGCCAACTCCAATTGGACTCCCGAAGGCTCCTCCAGCCGGATCGGTTCCTGCAGCGCTGCTCCAGCCGGTCCTGCAGCCGCCCGTCCCGCTCCCGTCCAGCCGGCGCTCAGGGAGCTCGGCTGCTGGCCTGTCCCGCTCGGGCGCCACCCAGCCGCCCTTCCCGCAGGCGCCCAGGGCGTCAGATCGGCCCAGGGGGCTCGTCCTGCAGGCGCCCTTGATCTCCTCTCCCGCCGGCTCTCGCTGCTCCCGTAGCAGCGCCTGATTCCGATCCGGTCGTTCTCATCGGATCTTTAAAAAAAAATGTCTGCTGCATCGGGTTATGTTGCTGTTCCTCGCTGTCCGGTGATCTTTGATGGTACTAACTACACCGAGTTCACTGGCTTCATGCGCATTCACATGCGTGGCATCCGTCTTTGGGGTGTTCTTTCTGGCGAGGTCTGTTGTCCGCCACGTCCAGTTCCTCCGGTGGCCCCTACCCCGCCAACTCCATCGGTTCTTCCTACGGATGCTGATCAGGCTGCCAAGGATGCGGCTAAGGTTGCTGATGAGGTTGCTGATCGTACTTATGATGAGAGGGTTTTGGCTTATGAGGAGGCTCTTCAGTTGTATCATGGTGCTCTGTCTGCTTACACCCAGTGGCTTGATGATGATGCCCGTGCTGCAGCTGTTCTCGCTGCTAGTGTTCTGCCTCAGTTTGCTTCTGAATTTCTGGGTCTTTCTACTGTCTTTGAGATGTGGACCCGTCTTCGTGAGCGCTATCAGCCCTCTGGTGATGCCTTATACCTCTCTGTGATCCGCCAGGAGCATGCTCTTCAGCAGGGTGACTCTACTGTTGATGACTTCTATGCACAGAGTTCTGCTATCTGGCGTCAGCTTGATTCTCTCCGTAGTGCTGGGTGTCGTACCTGCCCCTGTTGCCAGGCTGTCCAGGCCAATTTGGAGTTTCATCGCGTCTATGAGTTCTTGTCTCGGCTTCGTAAGGAGTTTGAGCCCCGGCGTGCTCAGTTGTTTGCTCGTGGCCGTATTTCTCTCATGGAGGCGCTTTCTGAGATTCGTGCAGAGGAGACTCGCTTACGT